TCGTCCCATGCGAGATCAAAGGATGCCTCAGTGAGTACCCTCCGCGATGGATGCGGACGAAAGCGTCCACCTGACTCGATGACCAGACCGCAAAAGGGAGTTACCGATGCCGGGCCGACAGTCTTCAGGGGGTTAACAGCAAAGCAATAGTCTTGTAGGACACTGGTGACGATAGAAAGAGCCTTCATAGAATCAGCTTTGGTAGGACAACCTAGCAGGATATCATCTTGCACGAATAGGACAGAGCACGGGCAGTTGGCTTTTGCGAGAGCTTCTTTGATGGGGTTGTGTACAAGCCAATGTACACAGGTATGGAAGAGAATACTTGACCAGCACCATCCCTGGGGTATGGTGCAGATTTGCCAGACGTGCTCTTTGCCAGTGATAGGGTCGACGCTAGTGGTCGCTATCTTTGTCATCAGAGTGGGATGAATTCGAGCACAGCCGAAAGCATCCACCAGATCCAACCGACACCAGAAGTTGCAGTGGTTAATATCCGTGCGACGGAGTTGATCGATGGCCGACGACTGATATTGTTTAGAGGTAACATCAGAAGTGGGAGGAAGATCTCGTACCACAGATTGCGGGTAATAGACGAAGCGACCATTGCTGTCTGTCCGCAGTGAAAGGTGGTTCAGGGGCCTGATATCAGTAGTGATCCGATATCGTTGATGAAGATCATCAGATGGATAGACACGGGCAGGAGCGTTGTCATCACCGTGATCGAGCTTGTCGACGAGTACAGGTTGGAAGATGCAAGTGCATGCTTCCGGGCAAGATGGCTTGACCTTGCCAGCTTCGGCCATACTCATCAGGCGCGAGTGGATGATGGACTGATCGACCACACTCCTCTTACGTGATGGTGCTCTATATGGATAGATGAGTGCATCCTCGACAGCAGGGAGCCTAGCTCTCAGCCTCTTCCGTTTGGGGTCTATGTCATCAGGAATGACTTCGACCAACGGGGTTAGAGCGGCTTCAGAGCGGGCACAGAGTGGGGTTGATGTGGCGGGCGCCGGGCTATTTTTGGCGGAGGCCATGTTGCAACGATGTCCACGCCTTTGTCAGAGACCAGCCGAATGCCCAAAAGTGAGAACATGTTACG